TCTCTCGACTCTTAATCCTTATCTGTATTCAGTCCCTCCCCTCTCTCACGCGAAGCTTTGACGTTTCATTAAATTATTAGAGAAAGAAGACGATTCGTTGTACCTTTCTCGACTCATAATCCTTGTCTGAATTCAGTCCCTCCCCTCTCTCGCGCGAAGCTTTGACGTTTCATTAAATTATTAGAGAAAGAAGACGACTCGTTGTACCTCTCTCGACTCTTAATCCTTATCTGTATTTAGTCCCTCCCCTCTCTCACGCGAAGCTTTGACGTTTCATTAAATTATTAGAGAAAGAAGACGATTCGTTGTACCTTTCTCGACTCATAATCCTTGTCTGAATTCAGTCCCTCCCCTCTCTCGCGCGAAGCTTTGACGTTTCATTAAATTATTAGAGAAAGAAGACGACTCGTTGTACCTCTCTCGACTCTTAATCCTTATCTGTATTCAGTCCCTCCCCTCTCTCACGCGAAGCTTTGACGTTTCATTAAATTATTAGAGAAAGAAGACGATTAGTTGTACCTTTCTCGACTCATAATCCTTGTCTGAATTCAGTCCCTCCCCTCTCTCGCGCGAAGCTTTGACGTTTCATTAAATTATTAGAGAAAGAAGACGACTCGTTGTACCTCCCTCGACTCTTAATCCTTATCTGTATTCAGTCCCTCCCCTCTCTAACGCGAAGCTTTGACGTTTCATTAAATTATTAGAGAAAGAAGACGATTCGTTGTACCTTTCTCGACTCATAATCCTTGTCTGAATTCAGTCCCTCCCCTCTCTCGCGCGAAGCTTTGACGTTTCATTAAATTATTAGAGAAAGAAGACGACTCGTTGTACCTCTCTCGACTCTTAATCCTTATCTGTATTCATTCCCTCCCCTCTCTCACGCGAAGCTTTGACGTTTCATTAAATTATTAGAGAAAGAAGACGATTCGTTGTACCTTTCTCGACTCATAATCCTTGTCTGAATTCAGTCCCTCCCCTCTCTCGCGCGAAGCTTTGACGTTTCATTAAATTATTAGAGAAAGAAGACGACTCGTTGTACCTCTCTCGACTCTTAATCCTTATCTGTATTCAGTCCCTCCCCTCTCTCACGCGAAGCTTTGACGTTTCATTAAATTATTAGAGAAAGAAGACGATTAGTTGTACCTTTCTCGACTCATAATCCTTGTCTGAATTCAGTCCCTCCCCTCTCTCGCGCGAAGCTTTGACGTTTCATTAAATTATTAGAGAAAGAAGACGACTCGTTGTACCTCCCTCGACTCTTAATCCTTATCTGTATTCAGTCCCTCCCCTCTCTAACGCGAAGCTTTGACGTTTCATTAAATTATTAGAGAAAGAAGACGATTCGTTGTACCTTTCTCGACTCATAATCCTTGTCTGAATTCAGTCCCTCCCCTCTCTCGCGCGAAGCTTTGACGTTTCATTAAATTATTAGAGAAAGAAGACGATTCGTTGTACCTTTCTCGACTCTTAATCCTTGTCTGAATTCTGTTCCCCCCCCCCCCTCTCGCGCGAAGCTTTGACGTTTCTTTAAATTATTAGAGAAAGAAGACGATTCGTTGTACCTTTTCCGACTCATATTTCTTAATTTGAACTCAGTTTCCCCCTTCCCGCGCGAAGCGCGGAAGCTTTGACGATTCATTGTACTGTTCTCGACTCCTTTTCCCTTTTTCTTCCTACGTCCTCTTTCTTTTTTTTCTTCTCTTTCTCTCTCTTTTTTTTTTGGCCGGCGTTTTTTGGGGGGGCGACCGCCCCCACCGCCCCCCCCTGGCTACGCGCTTGGTAGACGCACTTGTTTTCAGGAGCTTTTGAATAGTTTTTTTTCCCTTCTTTTTATTGTGTCTGTAAAGTAGCACTTTGTTTTCAACTTTTCACCACAGCGCAGTAGAGTTTATTATAGTAGCTGTGCTACATAAATTGATCTAATTATTATTACTGTTGTTACTACTTGTACACCATGAATGTAGCCAAATCATGAAAAAGAGATGCCCTAAAGAGTAATTTTTTTCCTTTGTAAAAATGACTCTCAAATGATTTTTTTTTTTAAATAGATGTTTACTACATGTATCAGCTATATTTATCTTCATTGTGATATTACAACACATACTAGCAGTATTGCCTCTAACACTCTGATTCACCCTTCATTCAAATATTTGATTTTCAGAGTTCAGACCAAAAACATATCTGACATTGCTCAAATTCCTCTCTAAAATAGAAAGTGTTCAAATATGCTCCTTGTATACATGATACACACTAAACTGAAGTGAGGAAACTTGACATAACATTTGTTCCCCCGACTTGCAAACATTGAAAATAATTATGACTGTGGAGGTGTGAATTTATTGAATGAAATCATGTTTATTCTTATAGCCGATGAATATGCCATCATAATCAGAGCATAGCCCGCTAAATGTGTGAATAATGCAAGATAAATTTGGATAAAATATTCCTAATTCATGTCTATGAATGATTTAGGTTTCCTTTTAACGCAAAAGGCAAACATTAATTGAAAAAAGAGGCTTTTCTCATTCATTTATTCATTTTACTATATTACCTGATACTCGCAGTGACAGTACACCTTTAGTCATAAAGCAAACAAACTTGTCAATATATGGGACTGCAAAAAGAAGCTGTGGTTCATATTTGGAAGTGTTTCGTTATCTGTGGTGTGACTGTAACCTTTTGTACTATGAGCAACTTTAGCTTAATTTTATTTCATTCAGTGTCAACCAGTTGTACTTTTTTCTCAATTTCCCTTGATAAATCTAAATGAATCAGTGGTTGTGTAATATTTGTATTTTAAAATAACTCTGATTTGCTCTGTTTGCAAAGCTGATTAATAAAAACAAATAAAGCTTTACCACGGTGGTCAATATACCTTGACCATGTTAATTATTGTTTAGATTTATTTGCTTTAATAGCAGGGCGTGGAAATGGACATTTCCTGAGATTTAGGTTGAATCGGAAGAGAGGAATGAATGCATACCTTGAATTTCATAAAGGGCTATGAACCTTTTGATTTATTTCTATACAGGCAGAAATTTCCTGTAACAAAAATAGTTTGTGTAATGCTAGTATGTCTAATTTCAAATCAACTACAAAAATAGGGAGAGAGAAAGAGAGAGAGAGAGAGAGAGAGAGAGAGAGACAGAGAGAGGCAGACAGACAGACATAGAGACAGATAGTGGAAGAGAGAGAGAGAGAGAGAGAGAGAAAGAGAGAGAAAAACATTATCACACCATGTACATTTGAAAAAAACAATGAGCAGAACAAAATCATGTATTTATTCATGAATCTTATTCTTTGTCATTCAAATCTCATTGAATACAACTCAAATTGAGAGATGATAGAACAACAACATGGATTTATAGTTTCATAAACATCACCTAAAACAGTTGTTCTGTCAAAAATTACAATCCTTGACAACAAAACAAAATCAAATCAAAAGGAAAGAGGATGTTTTGTTATTTGTTGCATGGTTCAGGAAGGAAAACAAAGGAGGATTTTTGTTTATTTCGGTGGTTTTTCACGGTTGATTGTGGATCCTTTTCCTAGCCTGTTAAGACCACTGGCTAGGCATGAGGGGTTGCTACTGGAAGTAGGTGGATATTAGCTAAATATTGATATTTGTTTTATGTGTAAATAGTGAATTAAAATTGTTATTAAGGATAATGATGCATATTGCAATGAAGTTGAGTAGCCCTGAAAATACCACAACTGGAGTTCATGGATAATGCTAGTTTTCATAACCTTCCTATGCATGTGTAATTGCTGTTTCATACACATTTGGTTCCGGGTAATTGAAAGATTAAAGGTACAAATTAAGCCCTTTAACATAGGTCAAGAAAGGAGTTTTATTATTTTGAATTTGATATAGAATATTACATTAAATCAAATAATGTAGGCTTTTATCTGTATCTTTTTTTTAAAAACTCACTTGTGTTTCATATTCTTTCTTCTGGTTTTGATGACTATTAATAAAGATTAAAGATATAACATTTTGACATGGTGAAATAAGTAGTGTATTGTTTCAACTTTTGCTTCGAACATCACAAATATTGGAAGTTATTTCATGTACGTTGTTGATTTTCACACAATTGTGTTGATAATCTTACTTTAATCAGCATTTGCTGCTGTAAATTAGTGGACGGTGTCATTTTGTTTGTTTCTCTTTTGATCTTTCGTGGGATGGAGCCAAGAAGTAATGAATTTCAGTTTTGTCTCTGACAATACTATTTCCTTGAAAGAAGAACGCATGGAAAGTGAATCTTGTGGTCAGTGGAATGTCGGTGTAATAGATTTACAGTCAACCTTGCCTAAGTGGCCACCTCTATTATGGGCGTTCCCAACTCAAGTTATGCTCTGAATTATTTACTGTATACTCTATGCTGAAACCATTGTTACATATAATATATCCATTGTGTTTTATATTGTACCGTTGAGAAGGGATTAAATGTAAATAAATACAAATACCTCTCTATAAAGCCCGCCTGCATATCATTATAGTGGTCACCCATATTGCCTCCCTCTAGAAGGAAATATTTGTTGAAGGTCCTGTCTAAAAAGGATACGTGCCTACAGTGGCAACGTTTTGTGTTGCCCTTGGGTGACCTTAATAGACAGGCTTGACTAGTGTAACTGGATAAGATTTGTGTAGAAGATGGGATGGTCGATTCTCAAGCTTAAGAAATATATAATCTGCTCAAAGCCATAAATTCACCTCCAAATTCAGAAGTCCCCTCATGCCATTTTGTTTCAACTTCAGCCTGCGGCATTGGTGAAATATAACATCACTTCAGAAATTCTGAATTTTTCGGTTCTTATATTTGTTATATTGAACGCCGAAGCATGCAGTGTTTGTATAATGTTTCAGGGCCTGGAGATGTTACAATTGCTATCTCAGATTGTTATGAGTTTACTGTTTTGTATTTCAAGGGTTTATTTGACATCAAGAGATAACAATTTTCTCTCTCTTTGTTTCTCTTGTCTCTTTACTTCTGTAGAAGACCAAGATGTCGATCTTGATGCCCTACTCGGCGACCTCTGCCAAATGGAGATTGACCTCCAGCAAAAGATTGATGAGTCCAGCGCAAACTCGGCCTCCAAGACTTTATCAGCGCCCCCTCCCACATTCAAACCGACACCACCACCCGATACGGACACCGGCCGTCTGCCCCCGCCACCGCCCATGCCAGATATTAGTGAACAGGACGGTATGGAGGATGACCTTCCACCCCCGCCACCGATGAATGGTGAGGCCAGGATGCCCCCACCGCCAGAAGACTTCCCTGCACCTCCAGAGGAAGATGCAACCACTCCGGTGTCACCCACACCGACGCTTACACCAACACCCGGCGCCCTAGATTCGCCCATGACACCGACGACGCCAACACCAAGGCACACGGCACCGGTGCCTGCTCCATCGGCACCGGCACAGAGGTCGGTGCACCACACCCAACCAACGACACACTTAGACTTCAGTGCCGCCAATGGTAGTGTCAGAGCACCTGATGTTAGTGTGACCTCACCTACGTCACCAAGCCCTACGGCTAGCTATGCAGCGTTTGGATTACCACCAGTAAGTTTCTACTCTTTTTTCTGCTTTGGTTATAAATTGTAGCCATCATACATGTGTCAAGTGAGAGTTATACCTCTTGTGAATAATAAAGTATGTGTACCTATTAAAGGTATTGCAAAGTTTTGGTATGGGGTCATGAATTTGGTTCAAATTAACATATTGGAAGCATATGCGTTCCTACAATATAGATTGATCGTTGTCGCGGTTGTAATCGAGTCTAAAGTTATGAAATTATAAATAATATACTATTTATGTTGTATAGCTCCCTCTCAAGGTCAAGATATTAATTTAGCTATGAAACAATGTTTCTTGACTAAACTCGACCGATTAGCTATTCCCGTTTGGAAATTATATATCCCAACTACATATTCTGAGATTTTCATTCAATTTCAATTTCAATTTCAATTTATTTTCCATCTTTAAAAAAGAACAATTTTGACATAGTATTGACACATTGTATTAAAATAACAATATAAACATAAACATGGAGGGATACCCTTAATAAGCAGGTTGCTTGTAAGCAGGGCCCCGGTATACAATATAAGATTTATAACTTTGTTACAGAAATATCTAAACATTTGCAAAAATGATAAAATAGCAAATTAAATATAAATTAGGAAATTGTGATCATCTCAACAGCTTCATGGTCGCAGCTACCATTATACGGCCATAGGCGCTATTTGAAATTTATCAAAATTTACCGGGAGCACCAGTAAATTTTTATATTCAAATTTTCTCGAAAACAGAAGTGTTTTAGGAGCTAATTTTTTTAGTGCTTATAATACATCCACAGGGGCATCCGAATATATCAAAATTGTAAAGATTCACTATCCACCCAATTTTCAAAATTTCCCAAAACTTTGTATTACCTTTAATGTTCATTTATGTGGTCCTAATCTCATCAAGATACTTTTTTTTTGCGTGTGCATATTTTTATTGAAAGATGCTAACTCATCAAAGTTTCATGCAATTAAATATTTAAAATAAACAGCTGACACCACCATGAATTTTTGCAATGAAAATTGTCATTTATGGTTTTACAGTAAGTCCCCCAACATAAATTTGATTTCGCATGTATGAGCTTCAGTTCTAAAGCCAATATTCTTTTCATTAAAAATAAAGTCTGTATAGAAGGCATGGTATATTTGTATTTCTTATGTTTAAAGGCAATGGTACATACATGTATTGCAATAAAGTGTTTCTTATACCCATCCTGAGATTTACTCTGTTTGGAATGTCATATATATATATGTATTGTAGTTGTTTGACCAAAAGAAGTTGCTAAAAATGGAAAACTAAGCGGATAGAACTCATGCTTGCACCTCCTTCTCTTGAGACAATTGTGTGAGCAGTTGCCTGGCAGCCCTGGCTTTATTATTGTAAATCATTGAATGGAAATAAATGAGAAAGAATGTTATCCTATCTTGCAGGATCAGTTAACACAAAGCGTGAGGGTGAAACTCAAGGACCTGGAGTCGCAGTTGGAGCTGGATCCCAGTCTCTCGGAGGAGGAGAAAGCCGCCAAACTGAAGTCGGAGAAGATCAAAATAGCCCTGGAGAAACTCAAGAAAGCTAGGGTGCAGAAGGTGAGTGATACAGATAGACATGGGGGGGGGGGGGGGAGAGAAAGAGAGAGAGAGAGAGAGAGAGAGAGAGAGAGGATGATAGAGGGGAGAGAGGATGATAAAGGGGAGAGAGAGAGAGAGAGGGGGGGGGGGGGAGGATGATAGAAGGGAGAGAGGATGATAGAGGGGAGAGAGAGAGAAAAGGAATGATGAAGCGAGAGAGAGAGAGAGAGTGAAAAGGAATGATTGAGGGGGAGAGAGAGAGAAGAGAAGGGATGATGGAGGGGAAGAGAGACACAGAGAGAGAGAGAAACAAGGGGGGGGGGGGTGAGAGAAGAGAAAAGTTACATATGTGAAAGCGGGAGGCAGGTTAACAGAGAGAGAGAGAGGGGAGAAAGAGATAAGGATAGAGTGGTGTGAGAGAAATATGGAGAGAGGCAGAAAAGGAGATAAAGAATGAAAAACAAATTAAGTGATCTTCAAAAGATTTTCAGTACAAGCAGAGGACAATATTCCATTCATATCAACATCCCCAGACCAAACAAAATTAAGATAACTAACAACAGGAATTGAGACAGGACGTTCCTTACGTGCTGGCCAAACTTTTGACACTTGTACAGTAATCCGCTTCCAAAAAAAGCTTTGACACCAGCCATTGTTCTTGTAGAGCTGCCGCAAACAAAAGACAATCAAAGTGAAACCAAGACTGAAACTAAGTGCAGTCTCGCCTGATGAATGTCAATAATTAACTCACAATTCTTCATCTGACCTTTTTTTTCAACTGACAATTTTCAAATTGTCTTCCATTTGTCAAATTCCCCTCAGTGTTCCAACCAGCTGTTATTGCGAGTTTATATTCGGGGCTGCAGCTCCAAGATATTTGTTGACGAGATGGGAAGACCTAAATGTACATGTGTTTGTACATGTTGGCAGGTCGGGGTGAGAAGAATATATCCATAGAATCTCTCAATGTTTTTCATACTTCATTTTTTGTCTTCCATTTGATGTTTTTAATTGGGAAGCTGGTTTTATGTCAGATTGTACATGATGGACACGAACTTCAAGATGATATTTGTTGACGAGATGATGAGAGTTACTTGTGCATGTTGACAGTCCTGTCATTTGATGGCCGAGAAGAATATATCTCAGTAATGATGTCTTTCATATTGTTTTCCATCGGATGATATTCCCATCGTTGTTTGTTGTCCAGAGCTGATTGGGCGAAGTACAGTACATGGAGGACAGGATATCTCAAAGACAAACTTTGTTGAAGAGATGACAGACTTTGGCAGGTCTGTCACAACTTCTTAAAAAAGAGTATACTGTAAATGAATCAACGCTCACCTAAAATTTATTTTCATTTTCCATTCTTCTGTTTTCAGCTGATCGTGCGAGTGTACATGGAAGATGGAAGTTCCAAGACGATGTTTGTTGACGAGACGATGAGAGTTAGGCAAGTCAGTCACATGCTGGTCGAGAAGAACCATTTGGACGAGAGACCAGATTGGACCATCATTGAACAGATTCCAGATCTCTTAATGGGTGAGTAACAAACACCATTATTAAAGCCCCACTGTACTACTGTAGCTACTTGTTCCCTCTATATAGAAAACAATGCCTAAGCGGTGACCATTGGTCCCCCATGATCCTCTATTTCTTATGTTAATTGAGAGCTGAATTGATGAGATAGCCACTTGTCAGTGACCTTCCTGGGTGGTCTAATCCCTCCTAGCCAAACTAGTACAACCGGCCTTTAAGCCATTTCCTCTTATTACTAGTATTGATATCAGCAAGGGGATTATACAATTTTACACCTGTAAATAAAGACTAATCAGGGGAGCCAACTTATTTGGTCTTCATAAGCAGCTTGGCATTACACGTACGGTACATGTTCATTATGGTATATACATATATCGATGAGAAATACTGTTGAAGGAAACATAAGATGTAGTCTCTATAGACAGTTGGTCTTCTATACAATTGGTCACTTACGCAAGTTTGACTCTACTTATCTAGAAATCTAAAAACTACCCCCAAAATGATACTTTGTCATTCTTGGAATCAGCGGTTTCATTCAATTCCAACCACAATGCCATAAAACACTCTGTTATTTACAAATTTATTGTCTGTCATCACATTTTCAGAGAGAGCGTTGGAAGACCACGAGCATCTGGTGACAGACGTGATGCTGAACTGGAAGAGAGAAACAACCAACAGAATCCTCTTCCAGGAAAGGAGAGACAAATATGCAATCTTCAAGAACCCACAGGTATTATACACCATCAATTGATCACTGGTCAAAGATACATGTAGCGTTGTCATGAAGTAGTTTGTAGACGATAAGTTTTGTCAGTCCTAAGATGTGAAAGAGGATCTTAAAGCCACACTGTCCTACTTGTAGCTACTTGCTCCCTCTATATAGAAAACAATGCCTAATCGGTGACCATTGGTCCCCCACGATCCTCTTTTGCTTATGTTAATTGAGAGCTGAGTTGATGAGAAAACCACCTGTCCAGTGACCTTGCAGTGTGGTCTAATCCCTCCTATAAACTAGTACAGATAAGCTTTAACTTTAAGACCAGTCAAGACTGTAGTCTATATGCCCTTTGTGTTGCTCCCTACATGTATTTGACACAGCCAGGGCTAGACCCAAGGCTTTATTAAATTCTTTTTCAATATTATAGAATTGTTTCCTTTAGTACATATATATCATTTGATTTTCAAAGAATTATGTTTTATACTTTACATACAGAATAATAATTATAAGAATAGTGGCCACTTGTATAGTGCACAGGTCAACCTTTCGGTGCTCATGGCGAATGATTTATGAAAAAAAAGAGAATGTGCCTGCAAAATAGTTACGAGGTTGTATGATGCAATTCTATATATTTTGTTGGGGACTTGACACTAACCTCTTTTCTGTCCTTCTTGAAATTCCTACTTTGTATAACTCAAGAAAACTTTTTGTGAAGGTTCATTATATACTTGCAGTGATACCAGAATGAAACACAAGTCAGTTGTCAAATCAAATGATTTAATTTCATTTTACACATATTTTAACTACCGGTTTTCTTTGTTCTTCTACCCTTGACCATTCCTTCCCCAGAACTTCCTTCTCTCCCAGCATGCATCAGAGGTGGCGACGCAGTTCGCCGAGAAGTCGAAGCAGTCTCTGATCGAGGAGTTCTTCAACGCCGGGAACCGGATCCCCGAGATAGAGGGCCCCCTCTGGCTGAAGCAGGAAGGCAAGAAGTCGTGGAAGAAACACTACTTCGTCCTCCGAGGATCCGGTCTCTATTACTCACCCAAGGGAAAATCCAAGGTAAGGAACCCGGTTGAAGATAGTGGTGACCCAACGTATCCTCCAGGGGGGTGTTTCACAAAGATCCTAAGTCGACCTTAACTCTAAGTTGGACTTAACAATTAGGGAAAGCCGTTAGCATCTTTGAAAGTATTTTGTAAAAGTTATTTTAAATGGCATAAAATGTTGATTCAAATCATACATATTTTCTATTATCAAGGAGATTTCATGTTCTTGATGTGGAATTTATGAAAAGTTTAAAATGCTGGAATTTTTGCTTTTTAATATATTTTATTGTGGCTACAAATGGTTCTCCGTAATGTTTAAGTCCAACTTAGAGTTAAGTCCAACTTAGAGTTAAGTTTGACTTCGGATCTTTGTGAAACATTCCCAAGTAGTGACATTTTGTGATATATGTTGGATTAGGGCTTGGTTATGTCGTATCAAGTTCTCTTGTATTATCCCAGTCATGCCACATACCAACTTTTTCCCCTCTATGCAAGCCAAACTGAAAATACTGTTTCTGGTTTTTCACATTATAATAACTATCTATGCGATGTATCTACAGTATGTATATTATGTATAAGTTGTGTAAAGTTGTATTTGAAATGTGAGTAGGGTGAATTTCCATTGGACAATGAAATGAAATATTTAGGGTTAATGTTGGGTACTACGTGAATCCAGGTCTAGATTAGTTGAAGAAATTGACCATAGAGTAAGTCTTGCCAGGGCATATGACTACAATCACAAATTGTTATAGAGCAAATGGTCTTTAACGGTGCGTTAAATACGTTAAATAGTTTTCGAAAAGGAAAAGGAATTTTATAGATGATTATGTTTTATTGCTTGATATATGAGTTGCCAAACACATGTAGAAAACTGTGTGATATGAATTTAGGCACAATTTAGCCGCTTTTATTTTCATCAAAATTATTGAATGGTGCATTTGGGAGCAAGACCATCGGACACTAAAGAAAACTAAAAATCACTCTAACATTGTAGAAGAAACAAAAGCTAATACTTTCTTGATAGTTTTTACAAAATGAAATGCACTCTTCCCAAGAGAGAGACAAACAGACACCTGTAGTTCTAATAAACTTCATTGCCAAACCACAATGAATAGCAGGAGGGAACACAGGGGAAAAGTGAGGAAGGGGGGATAATTTTCTCCAGCAACTCATCTATAAAATCAGGAATAAACACAACAGTGCGGCAGGAACAAGAAGCAATCACTTTAGCCAAGTCTCTTTTTTCTAAAATCCCTTGCTTCACTTAATTCCTGTCTCTCCTAGTTGCCATTCAGTGAGAAAGAAACACAGGGGGAAAGCGACAGGACACCAAACAAAACATTTATGCCAAGTTTCTTGAATAGATTTGAGGTTTTTGAAGCCAAATTCAAAAGGCTTTTCCTTGTGATAAACATGAACTTCCTGTTGCAACATTGCTTTCTTGAATGTTCTTTGAGATTTTTAAACATGGAGAAACTTTAAAAAAACATAGTAACAAAAAATTGTTTTACAATCTGATAATAATGATGATGGTATTATTTTTAAATGCTTAATTTGATTATTTCTTCAAATTTGTCAAGGTGATTTTATTTAGCTTCATACATATAGTAGCAAGGTATTCAGATTTACAGACTGTTGAATTCACTTTGGTTTTTTTTCCAGATTTGTATTTAATCACAAACAAGTTTGTTGGGTTGGACAGGCATCAGACACATTTTTGAAAATATCTATGGGAGTTTTTTTTCCTTTCAACATGGAATAAAGTCGATTTACATTCATTGATAAATGATGAGCAACAACTGTTTAACTCCATACGTACATGTGCATAAATCAAAGTCATAGTCCCTAATGCTTTCCCCCCAATAATTGACTTGTAAAATTGCTTATAGTCAACTTCAAAGGAAAGTACTTTGATTACTAATTAACGACACAGTGCACACATTCTTATTTTCTTTTTAAGCACTTTGATACCATATTATGTCTGTCTGTGGCATACCATTTCCATATCAGTCTGGCTGACGGACATGTGCGCTATATTAAGCCATCATTATTATTATTAGTATTATTATTCCCTTTTCTCTCTTCTGATCTATCTACAGTCCACCAAAGACATTGTTTGTCTTGTGCAATTTGAACACACTAACGTCTACAGCGGTATGGGTTGGAAGAAGAAACACAAGGCACCGTCAGATCATTGCTTCGCTCTCAAGGTAACTAAAGTATCTTGTTTGTTTGTTTGTTTTTGTTTGTTTGTCTGTCTTTGTTTGCATGTTTGTTTGTTTCTTTGTTAAAGACCATGTTTAAGGAAGATAAGCAACTATAGCTTGGCCCTCTTAATAGTTTCAATATTGGAAATCAGACAATTTTAGCAAATATCTAGATTCACAAAATTTCCATTAAATATTTTAATCACAATGCTAGATTTTTGCACTGTGCCGAAGTTTCTAGTTGCAAAAATGGCTGTCGTGAAAATTTGAGAAATGTTCTCTTTCAACATAAATATTTGAAGTGTACCATGTGAAGATTTGGCACGAGGCAAAGTACTAAAAAAGAAAACAAATATTGAAAACAAAAGTTACATGCAAACAATGTCTACAGGACCACTTCAACTTTAACAAGTGCTCTTTTCCTTTCTAAGTGCCCTTTACCCATCTATTAAGTGCCCCTTCTTCCTTTCAGTTCTAAATATATAAATATGAAAAGTTCATCGTGTTACTTTTGAAAAGTCTCCCTTTTCCTTTATATATGACTGCACTTTGATAAGTGCCCCTTTTTTAATCGATATTGTCCTGTACTATCTATATGGGGAATGAGACATTTCAGTTATCAATGTGTTAAACTACATGTACATAGTCTTAGGCCGTGGGTAATGTATGAAAAAGCAATACAACTGTTTATGATTGTGGTTGTCATGATTTTTATCGGCCCAAACCACAGAAAATCAGACAATTTGATAATTAAGGCTAGCTAATACTGTTCATGAGTTTAAACGAAATGTCTATCTGAGTAAACAAACAACTGCTGCAATTATGCAAGTTCCTTTTGGGATCTTTAAAACAATAGCACCCTGCTGCAAAGAGTGATAAGAATGAGAGGGAATGGTAAGAGGAAATGAAGACAAGGCAGAGAAAATGTTAGATATGACGGCATTAAAGTTGCTTCTTGTTGTGGTCTCAGAGTCAGAGGAACGACAAAGAGCCGAAAATGCTCAAGGTAAAAACAAAACCCCAGAGAGAACATTGATGTCATCCAGCATCGACTCGTTTCCTGTTTTGTGTGCGGTGTTTCTTTACCCTTTACCCCAGCCACCAGCACTTTCTTCCAGAGGGGAACCTGGAAACAAGGAACATCTGGACAACATTTCTGGTGGAAATCTTCTTCTTGCGAGATAACACAGTTCTCAAATCCTTAGGGAATTTCAAAACATATGGCTTGATCGAAATATAAGAATGGGCATGTTTCTCGATTGCGATTCGAAACTTCTTTGTTTTTGGTTGGCATTGTTCTTTGATATTCTCTCACTTTCATTTTCTATCATCGCAGTTCTTGTATTTTTTCCAAACTATTTTCTTATCCGTTTTTAATATCCTGTGTGAAAAATTGAAACTTTCTTTGTATTCTGTTTGTTGTTATTATTATGTCACCTGTACTTTTTCAGTTGAAATTGGTAATGTACCAATCTTCATCATTGTCTTTATCTTCTTATACATTTATGTTGTTCAGTTTTTTTTTAATACCTATGTCCTTTAATTTCTCCTACTTGTATTCCTTCTTTTCTCTCTTTATTTTGTAACTTCTTTGGCCATCATTAATGGTCCTTGTTTTCTTCTCTTTGGACTTTTTCTTCTGTCTCCTTAGTACCTACCCTGTCTTGTGAATGAAATTATTATATGAATTAATGAAATTATCATATGAAGTACTCAAATTCAAATATTTCCATTAAATCTTGCATGCAGACAGAATAACCTTCCTTCTAGTGGAAATGACTTTAACAGAGTCTGGAGAACATAAACTACACCACCATACTATAGATATCATATATCATGAGATAGTCTGTACTTTTAATTCAGCATGTATGAATTGTGGATGCGTAAAAAAGCCTGCAACCTTGAAACAAAAGTACATTTGTACACTTAACGTTAAAGTACACTTCACATAAAATTACACTTCACAAAAAGTACATTTACCTGTTTACTTTTATCATAATCTGTTCATAAACTTTCTTCTTACTCTGTATACATGTGTTTGTCAAATCTTTCATTTTGTTGATTCTTTTTTCTTTTTCCAGCATCCTCAAATCCAGCAGAAATCCAAATACATCAAGTACCTGTGTGCTGAAGACTATAGGACGTGTCAGAGATGGATAGCTGGATTAAGATTAGCCAAGGTATGACATTTGTCCACTCTTTATTCATTCATCCAACATATCCGGACGTACGGGATGTGAATATAATAATAATAATAATATGGATATTTATATAGCGCCGGCAATATGAATTTCATTGCCAATTTGCAGATTTTCTGACTTATGAATTGAATTGAATTGAATGGTTTGTTAAAAATACTGAAAACAGCAGCCCGAGAGCTGAATTACCTTCAGTTTACAAGAAAAGCACATGAAATACATAGCGATGTTAAAAGAATTTCATAAAGCTTAGGAGAATACATTCAAATTTAATATGAATTAATACAATGTAATATTATAACAACAACTAAGTATAAGGGAAACTATTCTAAAAGTTAACACTTACAGACTTGACTGATCCTTCATGTATGCACACTTTAGGAGTGAGAAATTAATGATAATGCAAAGAAAAATAATGTTTGTTCTCCCTCTCTGCAGTACAATAAGATCCTACTCGAAAATTTCAGCGACACGCAGCGTGAGATGACGGAGTATGCTTCCAGCGCTGAAAGTATGTCACAATCTAGCAGTCTGACTGATACTGCTTCCCTCTCAAGTATGCAGTCTAGCTCAAGCTCGCAAAGCTCAGGCAGTCTCCCCGCAACTCATGGTAGGTGGTGGTGGGAGCTGAGTGTGTGGCAGCAACATGTTGTAGGTGGGGTTGTCAGTGTTGAGATCCGTTGTGTTTGTGTTGTGGATGGTTCATGTTTGTTAACTTAGTATGCAGTCTAGCTCAAGCTCGCAAAGCTCAGGCAGTCTCCCCGCAACTCATGGTAGGTGGTGGGAGCTGAGTGTGTGGCAGCAACATGTAGTAGGTGTGGTTGTCAGTGTTGAGATATGTTGTGTTTGTGTTGTATCGGATGGCTTATGTTTGTTAACTTAGTATGGTGTCTTGTTTGAACTCTTAAAGCTCAGGCAGTCTCCCCGCAACTCATGGTAGGTGGTGGGAGCTGAGTGTGTGGCAGCAACATGTAGTAGGTGTGGTTGTCAGTGTTGAGATATGTTGTGTTTGTGTTGTATCGGATGGCTCATGTTTGTTAACTTAGTATGGTGTCTTGTTTGAACTCTTAAAGCTCAGGCAGTCTCCCTGCAACTCATGGTAGGTGGTGGGAGCTGAGTGTGTGGCAGCAACATGTAGTAGGTGTGGTTGTCAGTGTTGAGATATGTTGTGTTTGTGTTGTATCGGATGGCTCATGTTTGTTAACTTAGTATGGTGTCTTGTTTGAACTCTTAAAGCTCAGGCAGTCTCCCTGCAACTCATGGTAGGTGGTGGGAGCTGAGTGTGTGGCAGCAACATGTAGTAGGTGTGGTTGTCAGTGTTGAGATATGTTGTGTTTGTGTTGTATCGGATGGCTCATGTTTGTTAACTTAGTATGGTGTCTTGTTTGAACTCTTAAAGCTCAGGCACTCTCCCTGCAACTCATGGTAGGTGGTGGGAGCTGAGTGTGTGGCAGGAATATGTTGTAGATGTGGCTGTACGTTGAAACTGTTGTTGTCATTCTATCATGGTTGTTCATTGAACATGCAGTGTAGTTGTAGTTTACAGAGCTCATGCAGTCTCCCTGAAACTCATGGTAGGTGGTAGGAGCTTGATTTGTGTGTGTGTATTAGCAACATACTTGCACAACTTAATTGTAGTTGTTGAGATATGGTGTCGGTGTGGACCATTGAAGTTCACCAAAATCAGGCAGACTTTCTGCAACTCGTGGCTTTTGGTGGTACACATAGCTTGAAGTGCGGCAACAACATGTGTGGCAACGTGTTGCTGTAGTTGTAAACTTGAGTTGCTGGATGCTGGTATTGATGGTGGGAATGGTGATGATGAGAGAGAGAATTGGAGAAGAGGGACAGTAACCATGCTATTTCCATGTTGCTGATGCAATTGCTGCTGTAGATGGCTAGCTTTCATTAGGTGTTGGTATACAATATAATAATACACACATGAACATCATGGATTTAGTTTGATACTAGAGCTTTGATGTAGAGATGGATAAAACATAAAGAACATGTAGATGTACTATCTATGCCTTTCACGCTTTCATGCAATCCATTAATTTGTATTTCTTAGGCAATTATATTTTAAAGTAGAGGCTGATACATTTTCACATACAATGGACTTTCCCAGTATAGAGTAGTAGTTTCAAGAAATGCTAGTTTGACAAAGAGCATTTTTATTTAAAAAAAATTCTAATAGTGATTATCCTGGAACTACCGAGAGAAATCAGATTCAGGAAAGTTACCAGACAGTTTTATGTGGGATATAATCTATAGATACAGGTACAGCTGTATAGAAGAAAAAGTATTGCTCATCAATTATATAAAATTGATTTAAATGTTTTAAGCACTTGATTTTATGGATATGAGAAGTGTTCTAATCTTAAACTAAACTATATTTCTAGAGATACAGTGTAGACTTAACAATATCAATTGACAGCTCATTGTATTCACTAATGTACGGTATATCTCACATGCACAGACATCATATCACTTTATTTATTTATTTTTTTCCGCAGGGTCCAGCCCCAGCAATAGCATCACAGCCAACCTCAACGCGCCCCTGGTCCTGCCTCCAATGACCGCCCAGTATCGCAAGAGCAGCATGGGTAATATGTTTTCCAATGCCTGGAAAAAAGGGCAGGAGGCCGAGACGCATCACCAACTGTCTATGCATAGGGTAACTATAGCAACGTGTCATGTGACTGGTCTCGACCAATCACATTAAGACATTTTGTTTTTGTTTTTAGATGTATTCTTTTGATTGTAAGCAGTATGTTTGTGGTTTGATGAAAGAGATTATTAAGTTGTTATGTTTGGCATGCTTTGCAGTTGACAAGTCGACAAGGTCGATTTTTATGTTATACAATTGGCATAGATTTTGTTTTAATGTTTGGATAGTTTCCCTGTCATGGAGTACGTTTTTAAATAATTTGTTCCTGTTTTTGTTTTTAATCATTTTTTTTAGTTGATAGAGATGAATTGATTAGAAGTAACCCTAGCGATGTATTTGCAGTGAATTCCTTTGATGATTTACATTCTCCTAGTCTTCTTCACATGTACGTCTTTAAGGAGGGTAGGGTAATTGTAGTAAAGCATTAGAATTTTAATGATTTCTTACCAACATATCAAATTCATTGACTTTCGCTGTTACATGTATTTCAATTCATATTATTCCTGTAAATGATTATTATGCAACCTCTTTATGCCATGACCTATTGAATCTGATTCTTATATTACCTGTAACAATGATTTGCTTGTGGGCTTATATAAATGCAGAGTTCACGACAGTCATAAATTCAACCAGACTCCCCGCTTTCATTTCAAATCATAATACAAAACATGTGCATTTTATACGTCCATGCAGATATGTACCTCGCTCAGTATAATCATTACATTCCCGTGGGCGGCGCTCATTATTTACTGCATTTTGTATTTACAATCATCAAATCACAAACTTGATATATTATATCATTCTTTCTCGGTATGTATCGATCATTCCAAATTGAAGTTGAGAAAAATTTGATGTTGCGTTCCATTTCCACCTTATTGTATTTCCCTCCCCATATACAGTTTTCCTGTCCATATTATTACAATCTGCGCTTGTATTATTTGCAATTTGATCATTTTTCATCTGTTAAACATTTTACTTGTTCCATATTTGACTTGATATACTCACAAGATTGTGTTTGTATCATATTTGATGTGCTTCTCTATGAGTTCTCTGCCATCTGTGCCGTGTTCGCATGTTATCATTGAATGTTGTCATTATTGTTTAGGAGCGCTACAGCACCCGTTCCTCCTCTCTACCATCAGGCAGGATTTTAGACGAGGTTTGTTTATGTTTCTTACCCTCCTTGCATGAAAGTATAATGTTGAAAAGCTAATCTACAGTTCTGGTAGGGATCTTAGAGAAGGACTGCACTACTTGTAGCTATTTGCGCCCTCTATATAGCAAACAATGCCTAAGCAGTACCCGTTGGTCCCCCATGGTCCCCTTTTTCATATGTTGATTGAGAGCTGATTTGATGAGATAACCACCTGTCAGTGACCACCCAGGGAGGTCTAACCTCTCCTGGCCAAACTAGGGCAGATAGGCTTTAAACAACATTTTCCAACAAAAACCAACAGAAACCAACCCAAATCAACTCAATTCTTTTTGGTGTCACTTGAACATGACAGAAAAGGTGGGGTTTACAGGAAAATAAACAGGTGTTGGAGATAATTATCTACCATCAAACTACGAATACCGGTAGTCCATCAAAGTATATAATGCCCCATATGCACATATCATTGATCGCTTTTTTGTGTAGGGGCATTCAACATATTTTGTAATTCTGTTGATATTTTGCAAGTCAAAAACCCTTTAGAAGATCTTCTTAGATCTTCTAAAGGTGAATTTCCTGAAGGCTTTATCTTCCAAATGTGAATTTAATGTACTACCTAATCAGCAATTCAGAATGAATTCCAGACAAAAACCCTTTGAATGTAAATTCACTACCAGAACTGGAGATTAGTTTCAGCCCTTGCCATGCTACCAAATCGAAAAGTACAAGTTCTTGAAAAGAAATCTAGACAAGAATATCTCAACAAGAAATTCATATACTTCACTTGAAGAAAAAAACCATCCTTGGACAACGAAGGGCTATGCCGATGTTTTAAAATCATGGCATGTTCTTGTCATATCCTACCTTTTTTAATTGGATTAACATTTTAGAGCAAGAACATTCAGTTTAAAAAGGACAGCTACTTTTTTTCATTTGTCAGATAAACTTCGAATTTTGAAGAATTTCTGAAAATATTACATTTAAAAGATCATCTTTGGAAATGGGATGATGTATTATATTGCAACATACCGGTAAACAAACTAAATTCTTGCCAAGCTGGCAGCTTGTACAATTGGGAGCATGGTAAGGGATTAGCTAGTTTTAAACCTGTTATTTTGACATCTGTTTTGTGGCATGTTTTGATGTCTCTTGGTGCATGAATGTAAGTTAAATGACGTCAGTTGTCGATTAAAGAATCTTCCAGATGTCACAGAGGACATGTAATCCCTATAACAATTGCTGATTACTTTTGACAAGATAAGAATTGTAGCTCGATAAGTCTTGTAATATGGCTACCAAAGATACAGTAACCTTGAGAGATAGTAATGTCTAGAGGCTTTCCTGGAGAGACAACACACATATTTCATTTTAAAAAAAGATAAAGCTTGAAAGATAGTAGTATCTAGAGACTGTTCTGTAAAGCCAACACCCATATTTCATTTTAAAAGGATGAAGCTTGATGCCATAAAGAGTAATTGTTGTAATGCCAATTTTGTTTTTTTGAAGTTTGAAAAAAGAAAGATGTCATACCAAAGAATGTCATCTTTATCACTGAAGCAAATCTTGACAGGAAAGATGATAATTCATTGCATATGTTTAAAATGGTCTCTGTTCTTTAAGGGCAAAAAGAAATTGAGGGAAAATGATATTTTTTTCTCACACAGTTTGAGAGCAGGCCAATTATAGTCATTTAACCATGACAAGTAAAAGTTGTGACAATGAAAAGGATAGGTATTTAGAAATTAACACAGATGTTTTCTTAATTTTGAAATGTTTCTTACAAAAATAGATTGAGCACCCAAGAAGTGTGAACATAAATGATTGTCACTAATATAGTATTGGCTCTATGCTGGTCTGTAGTTTTTTTCCAGTTCTTTGTTATTAAACAAAGACATTCATGCACAATATAAACAATACCATGTCAAATACATTCTATTCCAGGAGCCACCTCTTGATAATCGGCCGCAACTCAACAACCAATCGAAAGCCAATTCTGGCAACACGTTTGACGACCTGGACGTCCAGAAGGCGTTGTACGACCTGGAGAGCGAGATCTGTGCTAGTCATCCACCTAACAATCCCACCCCACAACCTCCTCCTCCTACAACACAGCAGCAGGCAAGTAGTTATAGGTCACCTGCATCCCAAACTATCACTGACAATAGAAATAACAGTAACGCCCTAACCCGGGTACAGGTAGTCGCTTTGCATAACGAAGCAGTCTCGGTGACGGTGGCTGATTCGGCGGGCGCACGCGGCTCCACGGTGTCGGACGAGCCGATCTGGCAGTGCCAGGCCCCCACGCGGTCCAGCTTGCGGAGGAGCTCGGACACGCAGATAGGTTGCAGGGGAACCCAGGGGATCATCGTCTCTGGGAGACAACGGGGCGGAAGCTTGGCGAGTGCATGCGTCAAGAGGGTCAAGTTTAAAGAAGAGATAGAGGAGAAGATACCGGACAATAGTCCGGGCTTCGAACCCGAGCATGAGTACAGTTCCTCGCCACCAACCCCTCCTTTGCATTCCCCTCCTCCGCTTACTAACCCATCCTCAGCTAAACCCATCCCTAACCATTTTGCTTGTACACCATCTCATCTGGATTGCTTGTCACCTCAGCAGAATGCTACTGCACGATCCCCTAGTCCTCCCCCACCTTCTTTCTTTACCCAATGCATGGCACAAACACCCTCAACCAGTGACTCCCATCCCTCCTATTCACAGCAGCTAGGACCTCAAACTCAGGCCAGTGAATACCACCACCCTTACACCCACACCGCAACTGCTACCAGGGCCCAGCAGGATGATATCGTCTACGGCCAACCCATGACCTATGCCGGAGGGCCGGAAAACTACCCCCAGCCCACGCAGGGTAGCCAGGAAATCGTCGCCAAACAGCATAAGCTTATGGAGCTTGAGCAGCAGCAGCATCAGCTGCAGCAGGAGTTGCAGCATCAGAAACTGCAACTGGAAAAGCAGATTCAGCAGCAGCAGCAAGACCAACTCAAGCAGCAGCTGCAACACCAGCAGCAGTTGCAGCAACAGCGGCAGGAGCAGGAGAGGAGACAGCAAGATTTGCAGAGGCAGGCTTCTGAAAGAGCTTATCAGCAGCAACAGCAACAACTTCAGAGACATTTATCAATGGAGAGGTCGCAGCCACAGCAACCACAATCAATGCAGAGGCATGTGTCATTTGATGCAGTTAGATCTCCACCATCACCGCAACCACAAATTCAGAGGCATGTTTCTTTTGAAAGGCCTCCGTCGCAGCAGCAACAGCAGCAGCAATTGCAGCCACAGATTCAGAGACAGACATCAGTTGATCGGGCACAACAGGGACAGAATCTGAGGCAAGCCAATCCTGTCTTTCTAAATGAACTCAGTAATGCGCTTAAACCCAGACAGCCCGTTCCATTGCCTGGCAACAGACAAACTGTGGCTACCACCCAACCTTCACAACAACCCCCAAAATCTCAGTCTCCACCCCGCTCTCCAGCCCACCACAACAACCAACACTATCAACCCCAACCCAACTCTTCTCCTTCTCCTTCTTCTTCTCCGTCCCCTCGTCATCATTACCAGACCCAACAATCACACCCTCCTACAAACCACCAACCTGTCAGTCAGAGTTACTCCCAACCCTCGCCCCAACCACACCCACAACTTCAGCAGTCTTTCTCTCAACCACGCTCTCCCCAGCCACACTCTCCGCAACACCAGTCTTACCACCAGCAGTCCCCGTCCCACGCCCACGTCAATGTCCGAGACAAGCCCCCACCATCGCCCAAACCCATCTTGGCAAACAAAGTGCCCCCTCCCATGTCCCCCAAACCCATGTCTCCAAGACCGATGGTCAACCAGAAGCCAAGCGTCCCTCGTCCTGTGGTCTCTCCAAAACCCAGTGTCCATGGGGACAGGCCACTCCCCATGTCGCCCAAGCCCTCGCCCAAGCCCTCTCCCAAGCCCTCCCCTAAACCTATGGCCAAACCGGTGCACGTTAACAACATGCTCCCTCAAGGTAACGCCTATCCTCCAAACTCATATGGTGTGCCAATGAGCCCTAGCAACTCGTCTGTGAGCTCCACTTCCACGCCCTCCCCATCCCCCTCTTCCAGTTACAGATCACCCCCTTTCCCTAGCAACAACAATGCCCCGCCCCAGAAGTCCTCTAGGCCGCCTCCCCCACCAAAGAGAAGCGACACGACAAGGCTGAGCACTATTGGTTCACCGACAAAAACAAAGAAGATACCCCCCACCCCACCCACAAGGATTACTTGATAGTTTCACCCCCCCCCCCTCCCTCCGGCCGATTACCCCATCCCTATGTGTACACGGCATGTTTCCCTTACCCTAAACCTCATTTGATGTTTTCATACTCTTACCATGTAATGCTATGCTGTGATTTGATGTAATTTCAATTTCTTGCCCTTCCCCCAACCTGAAACCTAGTCAACCCCCTACCCCACCACCTTCCAGTAAAACCCTTAAGCTTTCATGATCATATACCTCAAGATTCCACAAAACCCCAGTGTTTGACGTGTTCCTGCGTGTGTTTTGTGCTTCTATAACCTTCACAAAAAGATGTGTTTCCACTCGAAAGAAAGCAATGATCTTATTTGTGTAAGTGTGATGTATATATTGCAGCACTCATAAGAATTCATGCCATGCAAAATAAAAATCGGACTTTGGAAAGAAGTTGTAAAGCTTACACACGCAGCAATTTTATTCTGTCATTTTGCACAGCTAATGACAAGTGTATATAGGAAATAAAAGTAATATAACATAACACAATTCTAGCATTTTTGTATACATGTAGATTGTTTTGTACACACGAACCAGATAAACTACTAATGTTTTTTTTTATTTGAGAGAGAGATTATTAATATATAACGATGCACCCATTGCAATGTGTAGAATTTTATTTATACTTAATTTGTTACTTGCCATTTTTGCTCACAAATGTGCAATTTTTACCAAGGTACACAGGTTTAGTAGATGTAGATTCAGAATTTAGTTGAAATGGTAGAAATTTTGTTGAAAATGAAGCTTTATCATCAAATGTAAAGAGAATATTTTAGCAGCTGGGCTGATAGTTCCCTGACCTTTCAGTAGCAGAAGAGTGGCCAACTTATGTTTATAGATTATTTTTTATGTTATGAAGAGAATTTCATATTTACATGTTTTTATTTTGTAGTAACTTAGAAATTATAGCAAAATTGTATTTGGTTCTATTTTGATAGAAAAATATTTAGTTTCTGTTTTCTGATGTTTCAAATGTGGAAAAAAAAATATAATTAAAGAGGAATACAATTCTTTAAAAATGCACATTAATATGGGCTTTTCTTTTTTCTTTTTCTTTATTTGAATTGTTAATCTGAAATATAGGAATTGCTTTTTTTATTTATTTTTATAGCAAATTGCTTTTTCCAACCTTTTACCTGTAAAATTGCATGACAAATGTGTATTCTATGAAGAAAAGAAAAAACTTTGCAATGTGTCCAATTCGTTCAGAAAGAATTCTACAAATGTATTACAACTACAACCAGAAGCTGTCAGCTCAAACTTTTAGCTGAATATGATTGAGTTTTAATTCCCCTTTAGTCATTATGATGGCAATAATTTCCTCAGTTGTGTCAGATCTGTTGTTATTTACCAATGTTATGATCATCGATTCATGCAGAGCAAGATTCTTTCTGAAATATTGTATATGCTCAAGAAATGAGCGCCTAAACCATTTAGAAAACATTTAATTTTACAAAGTTCAATGCTGCACTTCATGTACTTAATGTGAGACATTACCAAAAATGGAAATTTGTAGAAGGATAACTGAAAAATGACCCTTCAAACCAGGGATCTTTTTACTCTGTATTAATTTCCTTTAAAATAGTTTAGCTTTTTCTGTTAAATTCACAACTTTATGCTCTGATGCTGTAGACTAGAGTAGTATCGGTAGTTGATAAATGGAGGGATTTCATGAAAATATGCAATTGGTGCTGTCATAAATGTACAATGATACATATTAATATCATGAGTGATAATCTGAAAGAAAGTGAGGAAAGAAATTGCATTTTGTCAACTTTCTTGAATCCATGAGTCTGACTTCTTGGGCATCCCAGAGAATCTTGTGATGTATCCTCTATTTAGAATAAACACATGTTTCTATGGGATGTCTGTGAACTTAGACCTGTGACTGTTTCAAGAAACTGGCCCCAGATACTTATATGAGTTAATATATTCACATTATCTTCTTCATGTACATCCACTTACACCATCACCCTCAAAATCATCATCATGATTCTTATTTTCTCAATTCTATTTCTTCTGAAATTCTTCTCTTTCTTTCATTGGGTATCATTACCTGATAATACACTGCTATCACACTTTCTGTTGATTTTTATCTTTATCATCATCTTTATCACCTTCATCATCATCATCATCATCCTTATCATCATCAACATCATCATCATCATCCTCATCATCATCATCGTCTTCTGTTATCAACACCATTGAATATTCTCTGTATTTTTTCTCGAGTGTAGTTGTAAACAACATACACTATACTGCTTCTAATAGGTGCTATATTGATGTAGTCTGTAATTATAGTAGAATTGAAACCACCGTGGTCCAAATTCCAACTTTGACTGGTATTGGAATGCTTTGATATGTTCATTACAAATTGAGAAACAGAAAACAGATCACAATTCCTTCCATTGCATAGTTCTCCGTGAATTTTCATTTGAAAAAGGGAAAGGAATACATTACCATTCTATTATTTTACTTCTTATTCCATGATTTTTTTTAAAGAAAGGTTTTTAGGAACAGAGAGATCATTCCTTTACTATGAATAACAGTTTTATTTTAAACTAGAGCTATATACCACATGTTCATTAAAACATCAATTACATGTTACTGATATGGGTGACAGCTTGGTGTGACATATTTTTGCACATTTGTTTCAATGAGTGTTCAGTGAACCAACATTGAAGAAAAAAAGTAGAAAAGGGCAGCTATCTTGATCTCATATACACCTCCCCCCCCCCCCACCCCCCCCCCATCCCAAAGCTTAAATGCAATGTTCTTCATTGATATATACAAATATTTATTCTCTTTGTTAAGTCCGACATATACATTTAAAGTAATCATATGTGGTCTGTTTCTCCCCAGTCCCATGCATGTTATTGCATGTCTGTTTTGCCAAGAGACAGTTCATCAATATTACTGGTCTGTATGTGATGAATGTATTCTCTTTCCAATACCAACCAAAGTTTGAATTGGTCCACCAGTGTCGGTTTCTTATTATGATATTTTCTATATGTGTACATACAGTACAGCTTGTACATACTGTGTATTTTCTATATGAACATATCCCTATTTTAGACGGATAATGTGTACAATGTAAATTGAATGTTTTGTGTATAACCTAAAATTGGCTCCTTGTTGATTTCCATTTTTATGTTTAAACTATTCAGAAAATTGTAATCGATGCTCTAGATTTTTGAGATTGACAAGATTAATTTAGGGATCAGTATATCCCTCCAAAATGGTAAAAGTTGCTTGTAAATATGAGCAGTTAGGTAGCACCACGTCTTTGATATGATAGACTGATGAAGCTGAAAGATGGAAGGAAAACAAGAAAACTAGATTAATATATTTTTGTCTTTGAAAATAGAATATTTTATCTTTCATCAGTGAGCGTGATGAACAGTTTTATTCATTGCTAAAAACTTATCATTGGAAATGATACTTATAGGCTTTCTTTGTTTTGACATTTTAACATTTGAAATATTTAAAAAGATTATGTTTTATGAACCTTAATGATATTATAATGACATCTCACCTTGTACAAATTCACATCATGTTTTCATTTTGTTAGTAAACCATACAGTAGTTTTATTGATGGAATGGCACGTACCCCTAACAGGAGAAAGGGTTTGTGGGACTGTAGTGTAATGTTATTTGGATCTGATTGATTTTATGCAAGAGTTATTTTGGTATATTAATATATATTACTTTGAGTTTTAACAACTTTTATATTAACTATAGTCTGTAAGATAATGTATATACTCATTGATAAGATATATCCATAATTATATAGTAAGTATGAATTTGCGATATCTCAACATTACAAGAAAACTTACGGTTAGTCAGAAATGACACTGCAATATAACATTCTTGATGTCAGAGGCGATGACTATATTAATCATGATTATAATTGATATTCCAATAACCATGGATTATGCTAACTGTACACAAACTGCACATAGAGGGCGTGCTTCCTTGATTGGAAGTGATACGACCTTTGACATTTTTATCTGCTCTTTTGTCTTGCAAGTTCAAATAGAAATATGTA